CATTGCAGCATCCCCAGGGTCACAGGATCAAAATTCAGATGATTCATATTTATGACAGTCCCGGGGGCGTCACGTGATCCCCTTTTGCAACCTTCTGATGCGCAAAGCCAACAGGGAAACCAGATTCACTTAACAACCGTGCTACTAACTTAACAACTGCAGTGGCTCACTTAACACCTGTGGCAAGAAAAGTCGTAAACGGAGGCAAAATTCAGTTTAAAAAAATGTCTCGCTTAGCAGCATAAATTTTGGGCTGAGTTGAGGTTGTAAGTCGAGGACTGCATGTCCTATAGAGCATCACTGTTCCGGGTTGTTTTTCTTACCTTACCAAGTCCACATTTTGTACCGTCTTTCACCAACATAGGGTCGGGTGTACCTTCTCGATGTTTAAGGTCCAATGACACACAGACAACATTCTTCACCGGTATATACAAGACGGGAACATTAATTTTAGTAAAAGGAGCGTCGTAGGGATATGTGCAAATTAACTTTCCACATCTGATATCCCTGTAAAAAGTGAGGTGAGGTGAAGATGAAGGGAGAGAGTACAGAGTAGAGTAGAGTAGAGTAGAGTAGAGTAGAGTAGAGTAGAGTAGAGTAGAGTAGAGTAGAGTAGAGTGAAGGGAGGGAAGGGGAGGGGAGCAGAGGGGAGGAAGAGAGAAGAGAGAAGAGAAGGGAAGGGAAGGGAAGGGAAGAGAAGAGAAGAGAAGAGAAGAGAAGAGAAGAGGAAATCATACAGTGTGCATTAAAATCTCTCCAACCCACCAGACCAGCCCTGTTCTGCTCTTGATTTCCTAGCCCAAACATCCTCAACCATCTACAGGGGAGCAAATGAGAAGACATGCATTGTGACACAATGAAAACCCCACAATTTACGCATTTGTGTCCAAAGTCAAGGTACACGTATAAATGGCAGGCTTTGACTTGTCACATCACAAGGCAAGTTTGGTCCTTTTTTCCCCCATCCCCACCATTTATAGCAAATACTTCTGTTCATTTTAGGCCTGGCTTTGAACTAAGTTGGCCTCTCCCAATTGAATCCTTTATACAGGCCCGGGCTTACTTAGCAGAAGACTCAAAAACTGCATTTCCTTGTTTGGTTACCGCAGAGAAGAATGAAGTCCCACATAGAGAGATTTGTATACTGCAGTCCATTGAAACCAAGGCCTACTTATGTAGGTCTATATTCCAGACTTTCGTTCCTAATTTTTTTTCTTCCACCTTTCCAGCAAAATGGATATATAGAAGGTTTCCTGATAGCCTTGGTGGCAAAGGTTGGAGGTGACAATTCTAGCTCTCTTGACTATTTTGGACTCTTCTCTGAGGATCGTTTGACCTACGGCAACTCAACAATTCTCTCTAGCTTTATTCTATACAGTTAATACTGCTCCCTTCTGTTTCTACACAACTGCAGCTTCAGAAAGAATCATTCACTTATCCAGCACATTTTTAATGTGTGCCATGGTGCCCACAGGGGAAAAAAATGACAATAAAAGGTTATCTATCTAAAACTCAGGCCAGGGGTCAAATCTCATTCCCTCCAATAGCACCTCTCCCCAAAACAAAAAATTTCAATTTATTCTTTATTGCCTAATCGCATACCGAAAAGAGCAAGTCTTAAATTTCCTTTTGAGATCAAAGCCGCAGTGCCCAAATCTATCAGCCTGGCTGTTCACTGCTTCGTAACATACTTGCGGAGCGTTTCTTGACCCTAGACGTTTAGTTAGAAGAGCAAAAATAACTTATATCAGGATATGACCATTGGGTTTTCTTTATTTTTATTTCAATCAGTTCGCATTCACTCCTATCAAATAAGCTGTTATACAGGGGTAGGCAATCTTGGCTCTTTTATGACTGGTGGACTTCAACTCCCAGAATTCCTGAGCCAGCCATGCTGAGGGGAAAGGGAGAGGTTTCCAAGCTGAGCCATGCTGGCTCAGGAATTCTGGGAGTTGAAGTCCACGAGTCATGAAGGGGACAAAGTTTTCCTCATGCTGGCTCAGGAATTCTGGGAGTTGAAGTCCACGAGTCATGAAGGGGCCAAAGTTTCCCTCATGCTGGCTCAGGAATTCTGGGAGTTGAAGTCCACGAGTCATGAAGGGGCCAAAGTTTCCCTCATGCTGGCTCAGGGCAGGGACACATGGCGGCCAACTTCCCAAAATGCATATTTATTTTAAAAGGAAAAGGAGGATGAGAGCCTTCTCTTTTGAGGGATGAGGAGGAGTTGCGTTTACAACCAGAAGTCGGTATCAATACCCCATTTACTGACTTTATTCATTTCATACGCAGGTGGTCCTCAATTTCTACACTACTTCCCACATCACTGCCTCTCCAAATAGTTTGCAACAAAAATAATTTCTCTGCCCTTTTCAGATATAAACAAGGTTGTGAAGAATGTGAGAAGTCTCCAATCCGTTTTGTTTCAGGCTACAAACGGAGATGGGCATTTGAGACGTTCTTTCTTCCCAAGGCATGCTGGGATCCATTATTTGGGATAATCTGCAAGTTGAGAAGTGGCAGTTGATCCTTGCCGAGAATTAGGATAAAGAAACCTGATTCAAAGCTGGTGATACAAAAGGGCCATTTTTCTGCAGACAAAAAGCGATCCCAGGGGAAAAGGCAGTGGGGGTTGCATTTAAGGGGACAGAAAAGAATCAAAATTAGTTGTTCCAACATACGTGATCCAAAGAACTCCTGGCAATGCAAGTCAGCTGATTGACAGGATCCACCGTAACAGAAGCCGGTGTTAGAGGCACAACTGACCCCGTTTTGAACGTAAACATTGGCCGGGCAACTAGCCGAACTCCCATTGCAGTACTCAGGAAAGTCGCAGTGCTTGTCTAATGCTCGTCTACATATTGTGTTTCTTGGCTTAAACTAGGCAAGGAGATAAAGAGCAGAATGGACAAGGAACATCTGTTATATTAGGAAGAGTCCAGCTGATGACTAGGGTGCCATTGGGTTCTCACATATTATGGCACGTGAGTGGTAAGTGGTGTATTATGGTCTAAGGGGAAGAAACCTTAAAAACCAAAGCAAAAAATCAAACTGCAAGCCAAAAAAGATGGGCCTTGTCGGCTGCAAGACTACTAGTAGCTCAATATTGGAAAACGGAACGTCTGCCCACTAGAGAAGAATGGTCACTTAAAGTCTCAAATTTAGCAGAAATGGCCAAGATTTCCGCTGATGTGAAGGATTATTCACAAGAAAGATATATTTCGGTTTGGAGAAGGTGGATAGATTATATTGAGAAGAAATATGGGACCAAAAAGTTCCATTTGGTCTTTGAGTGAATTTTAGAGTATTATTGTTGTTATACAGTTTATTTATCCTTATTTTTAATTAATATGATATTATTATTATTGTGTTTAATCTTAATATATTTTATGCTAAAAAGAGAGTTAAAGGATTTTACAGACTTGTTATTCTAATAATTGATTAATGTTAGTTAGAATATGATTATTCTATTGTTAACCCTGTGATTAGCTCTNAGAGAAAGAGGAGAGGAGAGAAAGAGGAGAGGAGAGAAAGGGGAGAGGAGAGAAGGGAGAGGAGGAGAGGAGAGGAGAGGAGAGAAGGGAGAGGAAAGAAGGGAAAGAGGAGAGGAGAGAAAGGGGAGAGGAAAGAAGGGAAAGGGGAGAGAAGGGAAAGGGGAGAGGAGAGAAGGGAAAGGGAGGGGAGGGGGAGAGGTTTATAGAATTAGCGATTTGACCATACCAAAAGTATAAAAATAATACAAACATACAAGTAGATACAAAAATAGCCAGTTGGTTAACCAAAGAGCAAGAGTAATGATGGCAGAGCGAGGATTACATTGTAAGCCACCTCAAACCACAAGATGGGAGGCCTATAAATTTAATAAACAAATAAATAAACATTATCTGGGTGTAATATCATTCTCTGTATTCACAGATAGAATTTTGATTTTAATCAGATCCATTACTTGTAGACTGTGCCGTAGCCCAGATAAGGGCTTTGTCCTGCAAAAAAAGCCACCTTGCATACTGAGCTATGTCTACATCTTGAGGCCAACTGGCTGGGGAACGTGGGCGTAGCGCATCCATTTAAAGCACTGGGTGCCCCACCTGCGGGTATTCATAGAGGTGGCGGGGTCAAAAAAACCAAGGGCGATCTGGACAATCAAAGCACTATCCATTCTTAATGAGCATTGCAATTCCCTTTTTATTTATTTATTTATTTGCACCCCGCCTTTATCATTTTACAAATAGCTCAAGACGGCTAACACACACTTTCTCCTCCTATTTTGTCCACAACAGCCCTGTGAGGTGGGTTAGGCCGAGAAAAAATGACTGGTTCCAAATCACTTAGCCAACTTTCATGACTAAGGCGGGACTTGAACTCACAGCCTCCAATTTTCCAGCTGGATGTCTTAATAACCAGACCGGTGTTTCTGAACTGTGGCCGCTTGGAGATGTGTGGATTTCAACTCCCAGAATTCCCCGGCCAGCAAAGAATTTTGGGACTTGAAGTCCACACATCTTCAAGCAGCCAAGGTTGAGAAACACTGCACTAGACCAAGGGTAGGCAACCTTGGCTCTTTTGTGACTGGTGGACTTCAACTCCCAGAATTCCTGAGCCAGCATGGCTCAGCTTGGAAACCTCTCCCTTTCCCCTCAGCACGGCTGGCTCAGGAATTCTGGGAGTTGAAGTCCACCAGTCATAAAAGACCCAAGATGGCCTATCCCTGCACTAGACCAACTTGGTCTCTAATTCCAAACTGACTTTATCACGATCAAGATGCTTTCTCTCCTCTTTTGGCCCAAGAAAGAAATTCCTTTTTTTTTTTAACTTTCATGGGAAATCTTTTTTTTTTACTTACCCCGTGTCCTGAGCATTTTTTTGCAGAATCACAGTCGTAACTCAGAATGTCATAGCTTTCGCATTTTTGTCTGAAGCAAATCTACAAGGAACAATATATTTTTTCCGGGTTTTAAAACAAGAAAGGCTTTTTTTTTCAAAAGGCTTCATTTATTGGCTTGTTAGGTTGACGCGCTGCTTGTCC